GGCTGGACACGGAGCAGGGGGGCTTGCACATGGCGGCAGCATGGGGTGGTAGATGGCATGTGTGCAAGCTCTCTTCCCTGTGTCTGGCCAACCAGGCAGCACCTGTGTGGCCTGCAGAGGGGAGCCACTGCTCTTACCCCCCCCCCCATTCCTGGGAGGCGGCAGTGTGGTATAGTGGGTGGTGGCACTCCGTCCCTGCCCACCCACATGTACCCCTTAGCCCTTTCCCAAGAACTCCCAGGGGTATGTGTACCCCTGGTTGGCAATCCCTGCCCTAAAACTCTTCCACATAACTAAGGAAGAAAAAAAAAAAAACCTTGGTTCTCTCAAATCTAAGGCCCACTGAACATTCACACACACTTGCTCTGAAACCAAATTTAAAAACTTTTCAAGTTCTGCTTCTGGTTTTTTCTCTTTAAGGAACAACACGAGGCAACTCTATTTCCATTTTTAAATGTATTCCACAAACAATGCTAAAGTAGGGCAAACATTAATTTCAGAAAACCTTTATTGTCTGCATAGTACAGGCTTTCATTTATTTAGAAATATGCTTTTAATTAGATTTCCCATGAAAAACAGTAGTTTAAAATTAAGGGAAAACATGGTTTACAAAACTCAAAAGGTATTTTGTGAAACCAGAAACTTGTTTTAAAAAAGACACAAGAGCTTTTGCAAAGCCTGTAACATCTCTACTCCAAGGGGCAAACAAATCCAGACCCAACCCCTCCCTTCAGCTTTTCTATGGGCCTGGACTACTGTGGAGTGAAGTGACTGAAGGCTGCAAAGAAGTGGTTGCTAGTGTTCTCCCTTCACCTGTGTGCAGGTATCTATGATATTTCAAACAAGAAACAGAGCTAATCAGGCTGTGATCACATCTATTGTATATATGCTGATGTAAAAATTTGGATCAAAATAGTTATCCAATCACCTGACTTTGAGTGCAGCTTTTCACAGCTTCCCAGAGCTAATGCACCCAAATTTCTGTCAGAACATAATGCATAAATTTCACATTAAAAACAAAGCAGACAAAGTTCTTTGGGTAAATCAGATATCTTTTTTTTAGACAAACTAAATAGTTGGGAAACGTTTTCTTAGCAAGCTTTCAGGTTTAAAAACCCTTCATCAGGCTGAGGACACATCTGCAGTTGGTGTGCGCTCTTCCTGGATGGAATGAATAGTAGTAAAGAAGCCAGAGGCTGGGCTGCATGCAGGAAACCCAGTCAGTGAAAATGTAAATTGAATAGTCAGTGGGTGAGAGAAGGGCTGGGGGAGTAAGGTAGGGAATGAATGTAGCAGGTAAATAGCGCAGCGATACCTGGCGAGTCAGATGTCAGGCAATTTATAGTGCGTCATAAATCCAATGTCTATATTTAGTCCATGATTTTTTGTATCCACGAGGTTGATAAAAAGAAGTTCATAGGCTTATGAGCCACCTGGAAGAATTTCTCTAGGATTGCACCATCAAACCCTTGCTATCCTTAAGATACATCGATGACATCTTCAAGATTTAGACTGAAAGCCTGCAATCTCAGATTGAGTTATCAGAAAAATCAACAATCATCACCCCTCCATCCCACGATCTCTTGAACACTGCAGCACCAACATCTCCTTTTTAGACACAATTATCAGTATCCAGAATGGTAAAGTACAGACCACATTATACAAGACACCCACAGACCAACATACATATCTACACAGGACCAGCAATCACCCTAAACACACCAAGAAAGCTGTGATATACAGCTAAGCCCTCAGATACCACCACATCTGCATTGAGGAGAACACCTTGGATTGCCACCTCACAAATCTTAAGAAGGCTTTCACTGAACAAGGACACTTCTCCAGAGATAGACTGCATGTTTGAAAGAGCCACGTGATACCACATGAAGTATTGCTGCAGTATAGAAGGAAAACCCCCATGATTCATACACTGCTGGTTATGACATATTACCCCACCCTCAAACCAATATGGAAAAATTCTGAAACAATTACAACCCCTACTAGGAGAGACAATTCTTAAAGAGATCTTCCCAGAACCACCCACCCTAGCCTTTAAGCAACCACCAAACTCACTAACCTCATCACCAGAAGCAAACTTCCTATGGCCCAAAACACACCAAATGGATCTAGACCATGACAAGAAACATAAAACCTGCAAACACATCTCCACCACCCCCGCTATTACTACATCCTACAAGAGAACCATGAGCATTTCTGGATCTTACAGATGCACCTCCATAAATGTAATATATTTCAACTAACATAAGTGCCCTGATGAAAAATATGTAAGAGAGACCAAGCAACAACTGCACACCAGAATGTACACGCACTGGAAATCTATTGAAGACAAAAATACCCAGTTACCACTGGGGGCATATTTCTCTCTCCCCCATCTCTCGGTTCTAATACTCAAAGGGAATTTACAACACACTTTTCACAGACAAGTCTATGAACTTCACTTCATCAACCTCCTGGATGCAAAAACTCATGGACTAAACATAGACATTTGATTTATGACACACTATAACCTGCCTGACATCTGACTCACCAGGTACCTCTCCACTATTTACCTGCTACATTCATTTCTCTGCCTTGCCCCCCCAGCCTGTCTCTCACCCATTGACTCTTCAATTTATATTTTCACTGACTGGCTTTCTTGCATGCAACCCAGCCTCTGGCTTCTTTACTATTCATTCCACCCAGGAAGAGCACAGACCACCTGCAGATGCTTCTCAGCCTGATGAAGAGTTTTTAAACCTGAAAGCTTGCTCAAAAAAAAAAATTCCAACTATTTAGTTGGTCTAATAAAAGATACCAGATTTCTCCAAAGAACCTTGTCTGCCTATGTCCTTAGACCAACACGGCTAAAACCTACACCCCTGTAACATTAAAAACAAATCATTTTCAGTCATTCTTTCCATTTCTGTGATGTGGCTGATTCAGAAACTCTATACAAGACAGCTCACAGCATAACTCCTTTTCTCTTTTTCCACTTCCTGGATATACTTCACTTCTGATCTCCAATCATACACATTTTTAAATAGCTACCATTTTCTAAAGAGCTATTCTGTGTTAGTAAATAAGACTATTTTTCCTAGCACATTCAAGTGCATAATATGCTACATTCTATATTTCATAAACCCTGGCTTCAAATTTTCTTTGGCATAAAAATGGAAGCACATCACTTAATACATTAAGCATTTCATTTATGAAAAAAGGAGCTATAAAAGCAAACCAAGGGCTTATGAGGCCTCCCAAGATAAGAAGAGTTAGGATGACACAGTACTTGAACATAACATTACCAAGGAGCAGGTAGGTACTTAATAAATCAATGATTTGGTCGACGTTATTCCTTCAGTGCAGTCAATACTGAACCACTATGTAAGCAGCATGTTAAAAGGCCCAGTGCTGGTGTCTTTCACGATCGGTACAGTACTAGGGTCCTGATATTTGTGGTTAGTAAAGGTTTCATGACACTTTTACCACTTGCAAGCATTATAATATAGGCATATTCCCCCATAGCAAGGGAATTCATGCTAGAGATGGTCCTAGGGACAGATAGGAGACAGCATATATTCCCCCCCACACACACACAAAATATGGTCCATATGGTTTCCCTAAATTGCATGTCTACTGTACTGGCCTATAGCAGCAATACTGAATTGCCAAGGTGCAAGAAAGCCCTAGCCATTTCCCCTTCTGGCCCCCATATGCCTCCAGAATATGGGCATCAGCTCTGGTAGCTCCTGTAGAAAGCATCTTTCTTTCAGGGTATTCCTCCCAAGTAGCTCATGAAGCCACATGGGGAAAAAATTATCTCCAGTATGCATGATGGATCATTACACAGAGCCTTGCATCTGCCATGGTGTTAACAAAGTGCTTGTCCCAGGGGGAAGCCATTACACCCCATGATGGTTTCTCACCCCTAGTTTGGCTTCCCTTCTGGGGAACTCTCCCCTTTGCTCAACCACCATGCCTTGATGTTCTAGTCCTGAAGAAAGGGAGGCTTCCCTAAGGCTTTCTAAGCCTGGTCTCACTCACTGGTTCACAGTCTAATTTCATGTCTCAGAGTGGGGTGGGGGGTGGTACCTGTATATGCTTGTTGGGACTTGGCCTTTCCAGCTTCAGCTCCCTCTTTCTATTGGGTGCTTCCTGTGGTCTAGGCCCACTGCACTAGACCTGACTTCTGGTTTCCTGCCTTGTCCCTACCCTGCTGCGGGCTCCAGGGTCTCCACCCCCACCTCCTGCCCTGCTCCAGGCTTACTGCTCCCTCAGTATGCCTTGTGCCTTCCCCAACAGCGTTTAAGATAATTACATGCCCCTAGGCCACTAATGGGACCTCCAAACACCAGCACTTATTGTCCCCCCCAAACCATTGGTACAACTTAAGATACAGCAAACAACCACTTAACACAAACCTTCCCTCCTAGGTCAACAAACATCAACCAAAGGAAAACAGTAAGCTACCACTTTTTTTAAAAAATGAAAGGAAAACCTTCTACCCCCATCAAAGTGGGTAAGCAAACACCCAGGACAGCCCTCCCTGGGTACCAACATAATCCCCAGCTCTGGGTTATATCCTCCTGTAAGCTCTCAGGGTCTTGCTGGTAGCTCCTTTGCAACTTTTCTAACCAGGAACCTTTCACCTACAGCTTGTAGAGCCAGATTGCCCCACTCTGACTCAGGGCCTAGGGTCAATACAGCTCGCCAACAATGCCTCCTGCTGGTCACCTGACTCCCTGAGCTACCACAGGTGTTTTCTGATTGGACTTTCTGAAGAAGCTTCAGGGAGGCCTCTTGCTGCAGGGCTTCTATGAAAGCCCCTTGCTATCACTACTGGGTCCGTAGTAGTGTTTCCTCAAGTATGTGCCACCCTTAAGTCTGCACCTGGAGGCTGTCTGACCAACTAGCCCCAGGGTGTGTTCCCCTTCTCAGTAATGCGGTAGGCATCCCATTACACATGGTCATTTGTACCTATGAAGAGAAACTGCTGAATTGGTTTCCAATCTGCTTTGAATTTTCCTTTCTTTTACATGATTTATAAGGCTAAGGACAGACACTCAAAAAGCCTGAGCCTGAATTGATTCAATCTTTGCAGGTTAGTCTAACCTGGCTAGGCTGAACTGGTTTGTAACCACACAGACATTCTCTCTGGATTGATGAAATTCAGGCACATGCCTGCAGTGACTCAGGGTAGAAGTGGGGGGTCACTAGAGCAGCTCTCCCTTCCCTTCTGTAGGGAGCTGAGCTGAGGGGGGCATGGCCAGGCAGGACTCTCTAATTAGGGAGGTCTGCCTGCATGGTTCTAGGCTTTTCCCTGCCAGCTGCTTAAGGGGTGGGAGTCTTGCCAGCCCTCAGCCCCAAGTTAGCACTTGGCAGAGTGCAGTGCATGCATGCATCTGTTGATGATACAGAGCTTTTCAATCTCCCTCCCTGCTTCATCACACTGTTTGTAGCAAGCTGACAGGCAAGCAAGCCAGCTGGGGGCTGATAGTGATAACAGTGCTAGCAAAACAATAGCCTCTCTCCATTACTCCAAACTTCTTAAACAGCTTAGCAGCTGACCTGCTGATCAGCCCCAAACAGCCCTAAGCAGTCACTGTTCTGTCTGTGTGAACAAGAAGATCAGAAGTGCCAACTCCTGCTTCAGAAAAATAAATAAATTATAAAATATGGAGAAAAAACAGAAAGAAAGTAAAAGAAAATAATGAAGCTCTTCCCTTTTTATAGTTTAACTGAACAGCAAAAAAAACCTAACTGCATCAAGCAAAACTTGGCTTAATCCTGCCTTAAGTTTTGGACAGAAGCAAAGTTATAATATATAATTATAATTTACTTGAACATTTGCTTTCCATATGGGAAGTAATGGATTTGCCCAGCTGCATCTTGGCAAAGCCTGAACCTACAATTATTCAGGGTAGTACAATTTTGCTGAAATTTTAAAATCCTGCAAAAAGTATCTATGCATTTCTCTAATAGTTTCATAGTTAGTAGGGTTGGAAGGCACCTGAGCTGATTATCAAGTCCAACACCCTGCCATGAGAGGAAAGCGTACTGGGGTCAAACGACATAGTTCCTGACATTGTTTCTTTTCCTAAGAATAATATATAGAGTTAATGAGGACTTCCAAACTCACCAGATTTTCAGTGTAATTGACTGTGTTCTTTTTTGTAGACTTCCAAAAATGAAATAAACAGGAAGACTGCACTGTTCTCTTCCTACAATGAAAGCAGGATTGCAAGCCAAGAACATTTCTTTCACTAAAAAATTGTAAATTTTTTTACAGACAATCAAAAATCATTACTGATGTGTTTAGTGTGCATGCACAGACATATACACACACACACAGAATCCATGCCACTTTCAGAATGGCTCTAGCCCTTATGGTCAGAGGTCTGGGACACCCATGCAGAGCCCAGAAATGCCCTAAACCTTCTGCAGTGCTTAAGCTCCAGCATCTGTCCTCTATCCTCAGAGTATTGTTACCCCCCAGAATATGCTTGGCAGTACCTGCACCATCCTAAAAGACATGCACTC